TCTGGCGAGCGCACGCGCCCTATAGCGAAAACCTCTCCAAAAAAATAAGAAAGCCTCCAGGTTGGGACACGACTGCAGTCGGCCATGTGGGGGTTCAGCACCCTTCACCACCACACCACCTGCCCACCCCCAAACTCGCTTTTTGGTGCTACACAAAATTTTAATTGTAGCGTTGGTCAGGTTTTTTTCAAAAGCTGAATTTCATGTGGCTAGGAAAGCTTTCTTCATCCTGGTATTATGGAAAATGTAGCCGTTTTCTGTAGAGGTTCTCAGGCAGTAAATTTTCTGTTCTTTTAGGTCTTAATAAGTTTGGTCCAGGGACCAGCAGATGGCATAATAGTTACATTGCTGGACTCCCATGGCCAATGATGGTTCAACTCCTGGTCCCAGTGGTTTGAAACACACCAGGCATGGGAACCAGCAGTTGGCATAAATGGCTATGTCGCTGGACTCCCATGTAGTCGACTGCGGTTCACGTCCCGGACCTGGTGGCTTAAAACTCACGCCGGGCGCGTGTGCGTGCGTGCCCAAGATCCCGAGAGGAGAATGGAGGAGAAGGGATTGCGGCGTGACCATCCCCCCTGGGGGGTGATTTCTCGCTTTCTATCTCTGTCTCTCTCTGGCGAGCGCACGCGCCCTACAGTGAAAAACTCTCAAACAAAACAAAACAAAAAGAACACACCAGACATGTTGTGGGGCATGTCCGAGATCCTGGGAGGAGAATGGAGAAGGGATTGCGGTGTGGCCATCTCCCCTCGGGGTGTTCTTGCTTTCTGTCTCTCTAGCAAGTGCATGTGCCCTATAGCAAAAATCTCTTTAAAAAAAAAAAAAAAAAAAAAAAAAAAACTTGGTTCTGGGTCCAAGGGGTTAACGTGTTGGACTCCCACATGACTGTGGTTCTAGTCCCAGACCTGGCAACCTGAAATTCATGGCGGGGGCATGTGCTCGTGTACCCAAAATCTCTGGAGGAAAATGGAGAAGGGATTGAGCGTAGTCGCTTCCCCTTGGGTGTGAGTTCTCATTTTCCCTCTCACTGCCTCTGTCTCTGGTGAGCGCATGCACCCTGTAGCAGACACCTAAAAAAAAAGTGTGGCCCCAGGGACCAGCAGGAAGTGTGGGCGTTAAGGAGGCTGGGTCCCTTTGTAGCCAAATGCATGGTTCAAGTCCCAGACTGGCAGCTTGAAAAACACGCCAGGTGCATGTGTGTGCCCTAAATCCTGAGGGGACTGGAGAAGGGATTACACCTACAACACAGCCATCCCCTGCCCCCTGGGAGGAGTGCCTTTTTCTCTCTCATCTCTGTCTCTGTATCCATGCTCCCTATAGCAAGCAATAATAATACCAAGTGTGGTCTTGCTCATGTGGCTGTGAGCCTTGAGGCCCTGCAGAGGGTGAGCAGTGGCAGCCTGTGGGTGCCTGGCCTGGGGCAGGCGCTCAGTGAATGGGCAAGCACAGCAGGGGTCCTGTGGGAGCCAGGGTAGGGGGTAGGGGTGGGGGGTGGCACAGGTGTGTTGGAGGGGCAGGTGCAAGCCAGGCTGGAGGCCTGTGGGCTGGGAAAGGGAAGGGGACGCAGTTCACAGCGGGGTGCAGGGACAAGGCGCTGTGCGCTGTGAAGGGAGGCAGGTATGGCGGGGAGAGTTGGGAGACCAGGGTGAGCTGCAGCAGCGGTTGACGACTCACCTGGTGATCCCACTGTGACCCAAACAGCGATGAACACGGGAAACTAGAAAGCAAGCACGCCGTGTGACTCAGAAACGAGGTGACATAAAGGTGTCCCAGGGGGCAGAGGAGCCGCGCCGGGAGTGGGGAGCAGGGCTGACCGGCAGACTGCCAAGCCGGTCCCGCGCTGATGGCCAGACGGACAAACCAGCTCCCTGGCTCCCGGCCAGCTGGGCTGCACTGGGCAGAGGGTGCAGGGGAGCTCAGACCCGCCCCGGCCTCAGGGAAGGACGACGCTACGCTGTTGATCCCGCAGGCTCTGGAGTGTCCCAGGTGAGCTGGGGACCACAGAGGAGCAGCTAACCGTGTGGGCAGCCTCAAGCCTCCTGCTGTGTCCCCAGGGCCCCGCTTGTGTATTGCGGGGAGACAGTGTCTGTGAGGGAATAAAATGAACCCAAAGGGGCCTGCGGCTATTGGCCTGGTGGTTAAGGCAGCCAGATCACACATGGTCAACTGTGTGGTTCAAATCCCAGCACCCCCGGCTTGAAAAACGCGGTGCTCCAGGGAGCATGTCCAAATGCAGACAGGAGGTCGTCTGAGCAGGAGGGGTGTGCTGCTCCCGGGCCCCACCGGGGGCGCTGTCGCCCCTCCTGCCTGTGGAGGACACGCACTCCGGCGATTCACTACGCTGGGTCGTTGCCATCTACCGGGGACATCTGCGACCTCAGCCCCTGCCCTCCAGTGGGCTCCAGTGCGGCGCTTCTCGGGGTGGGGGCTCACCGGAACTGCCATGGAGACACCCTGGAGGCTGAGTCAGCACCACGGGAGCCGGGTTCTCTTCCCCTTCCAGGCTCCCTTAACCATTTGATGATGTGACAGAGACAGGTGGCCTTGGAGTCCGTTCCGGTGCTGATAACGGAGAATGCCTGGAACTCGGGGCGGTATAGACACGGAGGTTGATTCAACAGTTCCTAGGTCCACGGGGCCATATGTGCGGGGCGCGTCCAGCGAGGGTCCTGCAGAGCTGCCGAGCACCTGTTCCCCCGGCAAGTCTGGTCTTTGTCAACTCAGCGGAACTCGGTCACAGCAGGCCCCAATCACTTCACTCCCCAGAGCCCCACCTTTCCACACCAACGAAGGTATGCTTCTTCTCAGTTCCTAGACAGCCAAATCTTTTTCTTTTTTTCTAGAATTAATTGTACTTATTACTTTTTAATTTGACCAGAGAGAGAAGCAAGCCACCAGGTCTGAGACTTGAACTGTGGTCGACGATGGGGGAGTCCAGCGCCTCAACCACCATGCCACTTGCCGGCACCCACAGCCAAATCTCCCGTGGGGAATTTGGGGGGAATGCAGCAAGGCGCTCGGTGGTTTATGTCACATGCGAGGTATCCCTTTCTGTGCACATTAAAGCCAAGGCGAGACTTGGGTGGCGAAGGCAGGAGCAGCTCCGCCCTGGCAGACACAGGTCCTTTCTGCTCCGGCGGATCCACCCTGGACGGAAGCCATGCTGCTAGAAGAGTCCAGATTGTTCCCCGGAGCAGAAGCAGGTGTCTGGGGAAAGGTGTGAGCTCTGCATCCTCAGGGGGCCAGGCTGCTCCTGCAACCTCCCGCAGGCAACAAGGCTGGGTGGGCCCCAGCCTCCGTTCACTGCTGGGCTTCCAGAACGTAACGTTTTAGGTCGTTCTATTGCTAACAACAGAAAATGCCCCAAACTGGATGAGTTAGAAAATCAGAGGTAGAGGGGGGCCGGCAGGTGGGGTGGTAAGGTAGTTAAGGGTGCTGGATTCCCACATGGCCGACCAAGGTCTGAGTCCCGGACTTGGTGACTTGCTTGCTCACTTTCTCTCTCTCTCTCTGGTGAGTGCATGTGTCCTATAACAATATTTTTTTAAAAAAATTATTTAATTCAATTATTCACTTATTTTTAATTTGACCAGAGAGAGAGAGCGGGAAAGTGAGAAAGCAAGTCACCAGGTCCAGGACCATGTGGAGGCGCCCTGTGCCTTGACCACCATGCCACCTGTTGGTCCCTCCTACAGCAAGTTTTAAAATAATAATAAATTGGGGCCAGCAGGTGGCACGGTGGTTAAGGGCACTGGACTCCCACATGGCCAACTGTGGTTCGACTCCTGGACGTGGTGGCTTGCTTCCTCCCTTTACTTCTCTCTCTCTCTCTCTCTCTGTCCCTCTCTGATCAAAAAAATTTTAAAATAATGTTAAATAAAATAATTCTTAAAAAAAAAAAACTTAAAAAATAATAAGTAAATAACTCTTAGAAAAATGGGGGCCAGCAAGTGGCATGGTGGTTGGGGGCACTGGACTCCCGCATGGCTGACTGTGGTTCGAGTCCCAGATCTGGCAGGTTGACATGCTTTCTCATTTTCCCTCCCTCTCTCTCTCTCTCATTCTGTCACTCGTTGGTTGAATTATATAAACAAATACATGAAATAAAGTTCAATAAAATAATTCTTAAAAAAAAGTGATAATGAGGGAAGCAGCAGTTAGCGTAATGGCTATGTCGCTGGACTCCCATGTAGTCCACCGGCGTTTTGGTCCCCAAACCCGGCCTTAAAACTCACGCCGGGCGCATGTGCGTGCGTGCCCAAGATCCCGAGAGGAGAACGGAGGAGAGGGGATTGCGGCGTGACAATCCCCTCTGGGGGGTGATTTCTCACTTTCTCTGTGTCTCTCTCTGTCTGGCGAGCGCACGCACCCTATAGCGAAAAAAATCTCTCTCAAAAAAAAAAAGTGATAATGAAAAATTAAACAATACTTAAAAAAAAAAAAGAAAAATAGAGGTTGATTCAGCCCACTGTTCTGAGGTCCCAGGGCTAGGGACCATCTCTGGTGGGGTTTTAGAGTCCCCATCCTGGGACTCCCAGGTAGTTGACGGTGGTTTGAGTTTCAGACCCAGCATCTTGAAACTCACACCCTGCATGTGTGCACGTGTACCCAAGATCCTGAGAGGGGAATGGAGGAATAGGGGTTGCAGTGTGGCCATCCCCCTGGGGGGTGATTTCATGTTTTCTCTCTGTCTCTATCCAGGGAGCACATGTGTCCTATAGCAAAAATCTCTCTTAAAAAAAGAGAGGCCCCATCAAAGCAGTAGCTTTGATCCCCCTGCTGTGGGCTCCCTCTCTCTCCTTTTAAACCCCCCAGAGCTCAGCCATGGGAGCCCCATTCTAAGCACTTAATCACTCCGAAAGGCTGCACCTTTCAGCACCAGGACGGCATGTCTCCTCTGGGGGTGGCCACGCTGCAGTCCCTTCTCCATTCTCCGCTCAGGATTTTAAACAGGCATGCACATGTACATGGTAGGTCTTTCAAACCACCAGATCTGAGATTTGAACCGCACAGTGGGCCATGAGGGAACCAGCACCTTAAGTACCATGCTGCCTGCTTGGCTTTACCTTTTAAAAATAATTTTATTGAGGCTGGCAGGGGGTGTGGTGGGTTTTTTTTTTTTTTTTTTTTAAAGGTTTTTGCTATAGGGCGATTGTGCTCGCCAGACAGAGATAGAAATCGAGAAATCACCCCCTGGGGGGATGGCCATGTCACAATCCCTTCTCCTCCATTCTCCTCTCGAGATCTTGGGCACACATGCACACGCGCCCAGCGTGAGTTTAAGCCACCGGGTCTGGGACTCAAACTGTGGTCGGCTACATGGGAGTCCAGCGACATAGCCATTATGCTAACTACTGGTCCCAAGGCTGGCAGGTGATGTGGTGGTTAAGGACGCGGGACTATCACATAGCAAACCACGGTTCAAGTCCTGGAACTGGCAGCTTGCGTTCTCACTTTCTCTCTGGTCAAATTAAAATAAAAAGTTAAATAAAATAATTCTTTAAAAAATAATTTTAGTATTACTATTATTTAATTTGCTGGGGCCAGCAGGTGGTGTGGTGGTTAAGGGCACTGGACTCCCATATGGCCAACTGTGGTTCAAGTCCCGGACCTGGCGGCTCACTTTCTCACTTTCCCTTTCTCTCTCTGGTCAAACTGAAAAATAAATAACAATTTTTTTTTTAATTTGCACATGTGCTCACCAGAGAGGGACAGAGAAGGTGAGAAAGCAAGCCCCCAGGTCTGGGAGACTGGCCCATGGGTGGTCATTTGGGAGTCCAGTGCCCTGACCATCATGCCTCCTGCTGGCCCCAGGGCTCTAAGTTTTACTTTAAGTTCTCCAAGTCACTTGGCATTTATTCTGGTAAATTTAAGGGCTAGATCTAATTCTTCTTTCTCCAGCGGATATCCAGTTATCACAATAAAACTTATTTAAGCATTTGTCTTTCCCCTAGTGACTTGAAAAGCCATCTTTGTAGAGGTTTTTGCCTTAGGGCACACATGCTTGCTGGAGAGACAGAGACAGTGAGAGGGAAAGTGAGACATCATTCCCCAGGAGGGGACAGCCACGCTGCAATCCCGCCTCCTCCATTCTCCTCCTGGGATCCTGGACACGCACACACACAGCGTAATTTTCAAGCCATTGGGTCCGGGACTCAAATTGCGGTCGGCCATACAGGAGTCCAGCGACATAACTGCTATCTGTCTGCTGGCCCCGAAAAGTCATCTTTATTACAAACCAGAGTTCCAGGTGGATTCCAGTCTAGGTCATTAGACTAATGAAACAGAACAGTATCCAAAAATAGACTCGTGTATCACAGAGCAGCCCTCCTGGGAGCCGGCAGAGAAGCACAAGCGTGCAGAGGCCGAGGAGTCCTGCCCTAGCAGCTGTCCCAGAGGCTGTCCCATCCTGTGCAGCCCCTAGGACAGAGCTGCAGGTCCCTGGTTGCATGGCGGGAGAAGCAGGCTGTGGGGAGACAGCAGAGCCACGCCAAGGCAGAAGACCACGGAGAGGGTGCACAGCAGCCCTCATGCACCAGAGGCCTGATGCTCTAGACCTGAGGCCTGGGGGGGGACAGGACAGCTACCGTGATCCTCTGGAGCACAGCGAGCTGAAATACTCGAGATCCTCGCAGTCCCTCTGATTTAAGTGTCTTGGGGACTTCAGATAGCTGAGTCCATGAAACCAGGTTCCTGCTGTGCCAGGGTGTGTCGGAGAGTCGCCATGCCCCCTCCCATCTGCCCCCCTCCTCAGCCACTCACTGCTCAGTTTCCAACACATTCCAGAACAAATGACTCCACGGTTCTTTCGTTGTTTTTACTTCAGAAAGAGAGAAAGGGAAGAAAATTAAAAAAAAAAAAGTTTAAATAACTATTGCAGAAAAGGAGATCTGGGCTGGATGCTGGGACCTACCTCTCCCAGAAGGGGAATTAATAGTTTAAATGAAACAAAAAAGGAAAAGAAACAAGAAATAAATTATTCTGCTCAATACTGTTTGGCATAATTGCATTGTTCTTCATTTGAACACTCAGCCCCTCCAGCTGCGCTGAGGGGCGCTGGCAAGAACGCTGGTGCCTGGACTGGACAGTGGTGTGTGTGGGGAGGCCCTGAGAGGCATCCTACAACCCCCCAGCCCGCCCCCATTCCTTCCTCCTCTTCCTTTTGGAACTGCGAAGGAACAGACTCAAGCTATGCTCTAAATATATTAATATTTAGGGGTGCCCACCGACAGCTGGGACCCTCTAACAAACACACTCGCCAGCTGCAGGAGTCTGCTTCCTGCTGTCAACTAAGAAAAGGGGTGCTATCAGTCTCCCCACTGTTGGGAAGGGGGATCCTTTCGGTGGCTTAGGGGCTTCACAGAAGCCCTTCCCCTCCTAGCCGTCTCCAACCTTGAAGGGTGAGAATGCAGTCAGCAGCTTCCTCTGGGGACTTGCTGGGTTCAGTCAAGCAAGCAGCTTCCAGTTAGAGCCCCTGGGTGTTGCTTTCCAGCCCTTCTAGAGCTGGAAATGGAAAGTGGGTTAACAGGGAGGGGCGGGAAGGGTGCGCAGGCAGAGAGGGGCATGCAGCAGGGCAAGCCCACCCTCCCCAGTGAGTCTCCTGCCTTGTGCGAGGCCAGCTCGGAGTTCCAGAGAACCTCCGGTGGTCAGCCATACCTGGCAGCCAGCTTAACTACATTATGAGCCCCAAGCAATTCCACCCCCAAGCAAGAGGCTTCCTACTCCTCTTTGGGGTGTTGGTGAAGGAGGAAGGTGCATGCACCAGGCCGCTGGGCCCCCGCCTCCAGCATTTCAACGTGTTGCTCTCTCCTTAGAGCCAGCCAAAGACGTGCATGTGCGCGAGACAGACACACAGAGAAGCAGCAGGGCCCCAATCCCAGGGCACACTTTCTGATTTTTTTTCCCCCGGAGCAACAAGAGGGCTGGTGAGGAGGCCCAGGCCTAGGAGACACTACAGAGGTTGTGGGTGATCGGTAGAGGCCGAGGGCACACGTGGGTGAGAAGCACCTTACATTGGACGTGGCAGGCCTTCGTTGTCCCCTGCCCTGTTCCTTACACCTGTGTCCTGCAGTTGGGGCCTAGGCGAACCCCACTCTCAGGCGAGGGGTGATACAACTCCCTAGTTCTCGGGGGAGACTCGAAATGCCCTGGTCGGAGGCCATTGCACACATGGCCGAAGGCAGGAGGGGGTTAGGGAGAAGGGGCCCCGGGCGTCAGCCTGACTGCATTCTTTGGTGGGTTCGCATTCACCCATCCCGGCCTGATAGAGAAGTGGAGTTTAGGACGCCCTGGGAGGCCCCAGCACCCCGGGGCCGCTAGCTCTCCCCAGGGTGAAGGCGCAGCCCTGGCAAATGCGGCCGGCTCCCGCCGCCAGCCCCGGGGCCGGGACACGCCCAGACCAGACCGCCAGCCCCGGGGCCGGGACACCCCCAGACCAGACCGCCCTTGCCCCCGCCCCGGCGCACCGGTGGGGTCAGGCCGGCCAGCGACTGAGCCGTTACTCCCGCCAAGCCTGAGAAAGTACTTCACCGAGGCCAAAAGCAACCTCTACTTCTTAAAAAGCGGAAAAAGACATCCTATCCAAAAGCATAAGGGAGTGGGGATTGAGAGGCTGCCGCCCGCCTCCGAAGGCCATTGATTGGAGGAGACGGATACAGCGCCGGAAGTCCTCCTTGAGTCGCATGATTGGCTGGGAGAAACAAAAGCTCCGCCCTACTGCAGCGCAGATTGGTGCCAGCCCCGGGCCAGCCCCAGTCTCCTGATTGGCGGGACACAGCAGGCGCAGGCTGGACTGCAGAATGATTGGTCCAGACCGTGGCTGGCGTCGCTCTGGATCGCCTGGCGACGCCCAGGCCACCGCCCTCAGGCTGGCCTGGAGTCCTGGGTCGCAGCGCGCGCCCGCGCCTCGTGGCTGGGCCCGAAGGGTCGCGGCGTGCCTGGCTCAGTTGCCTCGGTAGACCTCGATCTTGCTGGCTTTGGCCAACATGTCGATGATGTGGGCCTCAAAGTCCGCGTCGTGCACGCCCGTCTTCCGGAACTCGCCCGCGTACCGGTTGTTCTCCCAGTAATGGTGCCAGTTGCCCCGGCTGTCGGCCCCGAACCCATAGACATTCACCTGCAGGGAAGGGCAGTGCAGGGTCACCCCATGTTCGGGACCCTGGAGGTCTCGAACCATGCGGAGGAGGGGAGAAGACGCAGAGACAGGCCTATTGCCTGGGAGGCTAGACTGACAGCTGTCAATTCCAGAGTGTTGGAGGCAGTGGAGACGCATGCCTGGCTCCCACACATGTGGGCGCCTGCTGTTCTTCCAACACTTGCTTTTTTTAAAACTATAATTATTACTATTAAATGGAGTATTTTTTTGTGTGTGTGTGTGAAAACTAGTCAGATAGCCAATACAATATAGCAAAGAACTTACTGGCAAAAGTGGTTGTGCTGGGGGACCAGCAGTTAGCGTAGTGGCTATGTCGCTGTACTCCCATGTAGTCCACCGTGGTTCAAGTTCAGAGTTCCGGACCCGATGGCTTAAAACTCACTGGGCGTGTGTGCGTGCATGCCCAACATCCCAAGAGGAGAATGAGTTGCATGGAGGAGAAGGAGTTGAGGCGTGGCCATCCCCTCTGGGGGGGTGACTTCTCGCTTTCTATCTGTCTGTCTCTGTCTGTCTGGCGAGCCCACGCGCCCTATAGCAAAAACCTCTCCAAAAAAAAAAAAAGTGGGATGTGCTGGGCACGAACACTGCCCCCTGTGGCACTGTAGCCCTGACCACTAGGGAAATGTCCTTTGAGTGACTAACCTCCATTTTAACACGGACAGGAGACCTGGGGCTCAGAGCTTCAGAGAGAGCCTTCCAGCTGAAATGTAACTGCACTCTCCGTTCTACTTGTGGTTATGGTTAGTTTTTCTGTATGGCAAGTCATAGCAATTATGGCGGTAATATTCTATTTCCTTTTCCAATATTTAACCTTAAAAAGAAAAAATTTGCCAGGGGTACATGCACTTGATGGAGAGAGGGGAAGTGAGAAAGCATCCCTCACAGGGACGTCATACCACAATCCCTTCTTTGCCACTTCTCCCTTCTTTACGGACTTTGGGCACACACGCACAGGCACCTCGCATGTTCTCCAAGCCACTAAGTCCAGGACTGGAACCCCCAGTTGACCATGTGGGATTCAGCTGCCTTCACCATGCTACCAGCTAGCCCAAACAACTTTTTAATGAAATGATTTCACATTTGGTAAAATGAGTTGCACTTGGGAAGTACAGACTAGAAAACAGGGAAGTCAGAGCCACCGGATTTCTGCCTTAAAAATGTATTCCTTGGGGCTAGCAGGTGGCATGGTGGTTGAGGGCACTGGGCTTCTACATGGCCATAGTTCAAGTCCCAGACCTGGTGGCTTGCTTTCTACTTTCTCTCTCTGTATCTCTCTCTGGTCAAATTAAAAAATAGTAATAAAAGTTAATAATTATTTTAAAAATGCACTCCTCTGAAGGCACTGCTAAGTCCCAATAAGCGCTGATTCTCTCAGTTCCATGAGTCCCCTACTTTACCCCCACCCTGGCCTACCCACCTCATCACACACATGCAGGGCAAAGAAGAGCACCAGCATCCCTGTGGAAGGGTACCGCCCATGATGCTCCGTCCACCTGTCGTGGATGTACTTGAAGAAGGCTGGGTTGTAGATCTGGACCTGGGAGGAGAAAAGGTAACGGGCACGTGAGGAGCCTGGACGCTCAGTCACGGACCCCCAAGTCCTCATTCCCTGGTTCTCATGGTCTCTCTTGGGGTCAGGTACACCAGCAGATGGGGACTCCGAAGGTTCTGGAAGGGAATTGGGCACACCTGAGCCATGGCACCAGTATTCCACGGCTCAGGCCAGCACTGCCTCTGTGAGATGGGGATGAAGAAGGAAAATGAACTGGGGAGCTTACCTTTTCTTTGTCCACTCGAAGGAAGGACTTCACCGGAGCATAGGTGCTGCAAGCAGACAGAAAGGTAAAAAAAAAAAGAAAAAAAAGAAAAAGGGGGAACCAGCAGTTAGCGTAATGGCTATGTCACTGGACTCCCATGTAGCCGACCACGGTTCGCGTCCCGGACCCGGTGGCTTAGAACTCACACCGGGCGCGTGTGCATGCATGCCCAAGATCCTGAGAGGAGAATGGAGGAGAAGGGATTGTGGTGTGACCATCCCCCCAGGGGGTGATTTCTCGCTTTCTGTCTCTATGTCTGTCTCTGTCTGGCGAGCGCACATGCCCTATAGCGAAAACCTCTCAAAAAAAATTAAAAAAAGGTTAAAAGGTAATATTTCAGGCAGGTGGCATGGTGGTTAAGGACGCTGGACTCCCACATGGCCAACTGAGATTCGAGTTCAGGACCTGACAGCTTGTTTCTCACTTTCCCTCTCTCTCCTTCTTTCTCTCACTTACTCTGTCCCTCTCTGGTCAAATAAAAAAATAAGTAAAAATAGGGGCTGGCAGGTGGCTGGTGGTTAGGAGCACTGAACTCCCACATGGCTGACCATGGTTCAAGTCCTGGACCTGGTGGCTTGCTTTCTCACTTTCCTCTCTCTCACTCTGTTCCTCTCTGATCTAGTTAATTAATTAATCCATTAATTGTTTTTAAAAAGAATTATTTTATTTAACTTTATTTATTCATTCACTTATTTTAATTTGACCAGAGAGAGACACAGAGAGAGAGGGAAAGTGAGAAAACAAGCCACCAGGTCCATGACTCTAACTGTGGTCGGCCATGTGGGAATATTCAGCACCTTAACCACCATGCCACCTGCTGGTCCCCCCAATTAATTAATTAATTAAAGCTAAATAAAATAATTTTTAAAAATCCGCTCTAAAAAAAAGTAAAAATAGGGACCAGTAGATGGCATAATGACTATGTGGCTGGACTCCCCATGTAGTTGACCGCGGTTTGAATCCCAGACCCGGTGGCTTAAACTCATGCTGGATGCGTGTGCGTGCGTGCCCAAGATCCCAAGAGGAGAACGGACAAGGGATTGCAGTGTGGCCATCCCCCCTGGGGGGTGGATTTCTCACTTTCTGTCTCTCTCTCTGTCTTTCTGGCAAGCACATGTACCCTACAGCAAAACCTCTCCAAAAAACAAAAAACTTCAGATAGCCTGGCGGACACGGAAACACTCTTCCCTCCTCAGGGCTGAGCAGTGACAGCCTCACAGTTTCTAGTTGATCTCCTCCAGACTGCCCCCCGCAGCGCGTTTACCACCGCAGTTCCTTACCTGGAAGCCTTCAGTGGCTCCCCACGTCACTCAGGACAAAATAGGAATGTTTTAGACAGCAAGCACTGAGGCCTTCCATCAGCCAGCCCCAGCCTTCCTTCCCCAACCCTGCTGTGAACTCTCCGTTGTCGGCTGACTGTCGCAAAGCCACCATATCCGCACTCTCGCCACTGTCCAGACAACCCTCTCAACTCCCTCCAGGCATGGTGGAAACTCCACTAATAGGGAAGCCAGCCGTGCCTCCCGTAACCTCCGCCTGCTTCTAGAATCTACAGCACTTACTACTTTAGCCTTCAAACCTCTCCACAATATGAAAAAGATCCTCCTCAAACTTTTAAACTTCTGGATTTAAAAATTACATTGTGTGGGGCCAGCAGGTGCATGGTGGTTAAGGGTACTGGACACATGGACAATCACAGTTGAGTCCTAGATCTGACGGCTTGCGTTCTCACTTTCCCTTTCTCTCTCTCTCTGGCTCTCTCTCACTCTGTCCCTCTCTGGTCAAATTTAAATAAATAAATAAGTAAAATAATTCCTTTTTTTTTTTTTTTGAGAGGTTTTTGCCATAGGGCACATGCGCTCGCCAGACAGAGAGAGAGAGAAAGAGACAGAAAGCAAGAAATCACCCCCCAGGGGGGATGGCCACGCCACAATTCCTTCTCCTCCATTCTCCTTTTGGGATCTTGGGCACACACGCACACACACCCGGCATGAGTTTAAGCCACCGGGTCCGGGACATGAACCATGGTCAACTACCTGGCTGTCCAGCGATATAGCCATTATGCTAACTGCTCCTCCCTAAATAAAATAATTCTTTTTAAAAAAAATTACATTGGGGACCAGCAGATGGCATAATGGTTACATCGCTGGATTCCCAAATAGGTGACTGTGGTTCGAGGCCCAGGCCTAGCAGCTTTAAAATTCATGCCAGGCGTGTGTGCGTGCGTGTCCAAGATCCTGAGAGGAGAAGGGACTGAGGCATGGCCATTTCCCCTGGGGGGGTGGTGGTGGTTTTTTGCTTTCTAAAGACTCTGTTTCTCTCTGTCTCCCTGGTGAGTGCACACACCTATAGCAGAAATCTCTCCAAAGAAAGGAAGGAAGGAAGGGAGGGAGGGAGGGAGGAAGGAAGGAAGGAAAAAGAACAGAACAGAACAGAACAAAACAAACTTGGTGAGTCTGATTTCCCATGGTTCTGCTGTGATGGGTAACTACTCCCCTCCTCCAGGAAAGTTCTCAGAAGGCAGCGTCCCCAGGCTGGTGCCACCTCCCGGAAAGAAAACCAAACCAGACGTCCCTCCCGCCCTTCCACCATCATGTGCCGGACAGCACCCGGCAGGACGCGATGTGGGACAGCCGAGCCCTCAGCCTACCCCCATTCGGGGCCCTCTCTCCTCACCAGCCGCTCTTGGCTAAAATGCGACCCAGCCCCAGGGAAAAACCCTCCCCACCCCACTGGCAGTCTGCAGGGAGCTCACAATCGGATCTGCCCCGTGGACAGGGCGCTGGCGATCCACAGCAGGTCCAGGGCCTTGAAGGGCACAAGCACGAAGCTGACGTTGGCGGGCAGGTTCCTGGCGCTCTCTGGGTACATGAAGTGGTGGGTGGTTCGGCTGCCGACATCCTGCTCGAAGCCCACAGTTGGTGCCTGATTCATCCTGCAGGGACAAAGGGTGACATGAGATGAAACTGCCATGGAAACTGGGACGAGATGTTTAGAGGAAGATTTGGTGCTATCAAAAATGTAAACAGGCGTGTTCTTTGACCCAGCAATTCCGTTTCCAGAAATCTGTCTAAAACAGTTGCACACAATCTCTGCACACGAGGATATTCACTGCCGTGCTCTTCACAACAGAAACGGCAGAACAGGTTAAGGCCAGCCCGTGGCCTGGTGGTTACGACTGCTGGACACCCACATGGCCTGCCTGCTAGTTTGAGTTCTGGACTTGGCAGCTTGAGAAACACACCAGGCACATGTGGGTACATGCCCCAAATCCCAAGACGACAAATGGAGAAGTAGTGTGATCATTCCCCATTGGGACTTCTTTTTCACTTTTTCTTTTTGTCTCTCCCTCTGGCAATTGCACATACCTCTCTCTCTCTCTATATATATATATATATAATTAAATTTTAAAAAAAAGAAAGAAAGAAAGAATTGGGGGACCAGCAGGTGGTGTAGTGGTTAAGGTGCTGGACTCACATGAGGTCTACTGTAGTTCGAGTTCCAGACCTGGTAGCTTAAAACTCACACCAGGCACCGGGCGCATGTGCGTGCGTGCCCAAGATCTTGAGAGGAGAATGGAGGAGAAGGGATTGCGGCGTGACCATCCCCCCTGGGGGGTGATTTCTCACTTTCTGTCTCTCTGTCTCTGTCTGGCGAGCACACGCGCCCTGTATCGAAAACCTCTCAAGAAAACAAACAAAAAAACTCACACCAGGCATGTATGCGTGTGTGCTCAAAATCCTGAGAGGAGAATGGAGAAGGGATTGTGGCAAGGCCATCCCCCAAGGGGCTGATTTTTTGTTTTCTGTCTCTCCAGTCGTGCACAGACCGTATAGCAAAAATCCCTCAAAAAAAAAAAAAAAGAAAAAGAAAAATCTTGTTAATACACACACATTAGCACGTTCCTACAATGGAACATCATGTAGCCATCAATAAAGTAGAGCCAGCCCCACAGCCTCGTGGGTAAGGGTGCTGCTCTGATTCGAACCCAGCCCCAGCAGCTTGAAAGCCATGGTCAGGGGTCACTCTCATGAGGCCTTAAGAAACAAACTTCACCTCACCAGAGACAGACAGGGCAAGCCGGTCCTGCCAGCTCAAAGCGCTGCAGCTGCCCAAGGTTGGCCTCTGAAGACCCCATCTGCCTCCTCCACTGAACGGCAGGCGGCCCTTCCCCAGAGTGCCCGAGCCCTGCTACGAGGCTCACCTGCCTCTCCGCACCTGCAGGTGGCCCTGTGGCGGAGCCTGCGCCTCCCTTTCTTCCCTTCCAGGCGCTGACCAAGCAGAGAGCTCGGAAATGAATGGTGCAGGAGGTCCAAAACGAGGCCTCACAGCTCCCTGGGACAACAAAGGAAGGTTGCACTCCCTCGGGGACAGGCTTTTGTTTTGAGGCTCTGATTCACTGTGGAGAAGCCAAGTCCTGGAACAGGGCCAGAGGATGAGCTGATTCGGACTCAGAGGCCAGGCATTCTAGAAATCTACCTACCCCCGGCATCTCCAGTGGCCCAAGCACTGGGGCAAAGGCATGGGCCAGGGCAGGGTGGGTGGGCGCCTCGTTCCTCACTCACCCACGTGTTTACGGTGTGCCTGCTAGCTGCCAGGCACCATCGGAGGGCCTGTGGATGTCCCTGCTGGCCCGCCGAGTACCCCTTGGCAGCACCTGGCAGGGCTCCGAGGACGTACAGGAGGCACGTGTGGATGGAGCCATCGTCTCACTACCTCCGCTCAGCTCTCCTGCTGGGTACCACATTGGTCCTGTGTCCAGGACACAAACACAGCCACCTCCTCTGCCATCCGGCTCTTTCCACAGACCAGCCGACCGTGCTGGGTCATGCCTTCCGGAACTACCTCCTCTCCTAGCCTGGCCCCTGGGAAGGGAATCTGTGAGTTTCCCGCTGTGGCCTGGCCTGACCAGGTGCTGTCAGGCGTCGTGAGCGGCCTGACCTCTGGGTCTACAGGGCTTGTACCTCGGGCTTCCTGGCCATCACCGATGGCCTAAGGGAAGCTTCAGCTCATGTAGGCAGCGGGGAGGCAGGTGCTTCAGGCTGAGGGCCTCTTCTCAGGCTTCCCAGGTGCGCTAGGGCTGCTCTGGACTCACTCTAGTGGACAACCAATCCCAGCCATGGTCCCTGGGCAGAGAGAGCCCCCTCTCCAGTTCCCATCTTACCTGCCTCCCATCTGGGGTGCCAGCCACTGGAGGACGGGGACAATCTGACGGCCCTGGAGTCCTGGATAGGGCCAGCCACCCTGTCCCCCTACCCCCACCATTTCCCAACACGAGGAAGGTCTTGCAAGGAATGTCAAAAGCCTCAGAGACATGCTGCCTCCGTGTTGCCATGGAGACAGCAACAGTTACTAAGCAAAGCCCTTCCCTCTGCCGCCTGGGAAACCTGGTCTTTCTGCAGCGCTCACCCGTGATGATCAGGAAACCGGGCATTTGTAGTGTCTTCATTCTGTTGTTCTTTTTAACTTTTCCCCTTCATTCACGAGAGTGTGCATGTAGGAGAAAGACTGCCGAGTGAGAGGTGAGCACCCTCTACGGAGTCTGGCCACACCGCGATTCCCTCCCTGCAGTCCCCAGTTCCTGGCCAGTCTCTGAGTGACAAGCGTGTTTCAGGCTGACCGGGCCAGGGGTCGGAGCCGCGTCACCATGCGGAACCCGGGCCAGGGGTCGGAGCCGCGTCACCATGCAGAACCCGGGCTAGGGGTCGGAGCCGCGTCACCATGTGGGACCGGCCTCTCCACCACCACTGCACCACAGGCTCGCCCGGCGCCATTAGGGTCTCCTCCTCTGAGGGCGGGAGAAAGTGTCCCTGCTGCGGCGTTTTCTTTTTTTGGGGGAGCGGTTTCTTTCTTTTTTTTTTTTTCCACTATAGGGCATGTGCGCTCGCCAGACAGACAGAGAGAGACATAGAGACAGAAAGCGAGAAATCACCCCCCAGGAAGGATGGTCACGCCGCAATCCCTTCTCCTCCATTCTCATCTCGGGATCTTGGGCACGCACGCACACGCTCCCGGCGTGAGTTTTAAGCCACGGGTCTGGGATGCGAACCGCGGTCGACTACGTGGGAGTCCAGCAACAAAGCCATTACGCTAACTGCTGGATCCCGCTGCTGCGGCGTTTTCTGTCCCCAGCCAACTAGAGGGAGGATGTCGTGAAACACACAGGTTCACGCCCAGGCCTTCCATGCTCTGTGTCTCTGGACAAAGGCCTTCCCAACTCTCTCCTCTCCCATAGGCTGGGTGCAGAGGCCCGTTGAGTGACAGCACCCCAGAACCTCAGCCTTGGGAGAGGAAGGGAGGGCCGAAGTCCAGGGCAAACCCCAACGGCCCTTCTTCTGCCCAGGACATCTTCCTCCCTGAAGTCATCGCTTTTTTTTTTTTTTTTTTTTTGAGAGAGAGATCTTTGTTTTTAGGGTGTATGCACTTGCCAGAGAGACAGATAGAAAGCGAGAAATCACCCCCGTAGTGGTCATAGCCACACCACCATCCCTTCTTTCTCCTCTGAGTGTGGAGCACTAACGTACACACGCTTGGCATGAGTTTCAAGCCACCGGGTCTGGGACTCGAACTGCGGAGGGCTATGTGGGATCCCAGGGCCTTAACCACCAGGCCACCCGCTGGCCCCTGGACTAGTTGCTATTAAGCAAGACCAGTCTGGGTTGAGGCACCAGGAGGGTCCGATGGCCTGCAGTGTGCATGCAGCAAACAGCCACGAGTTCAGTTCCAGCTCTTTTCAGGGGAAGTCAGAGACTACAAAACTGAGGATGAGTCTCCGCTACGTCTCTGCCTCTTCCCCCACCCCAGACAGACAACAAGAGACACTCCAGACCGCCAGTGAACGGCACCCCGGCCGCGGAGGTATGGTCTTGGGGGTTGGCCCTGGGCCCACCCTCGGGCTCCATGGGGCTCACCTCATGATGAAGTTGTGCCCGTCCACATCCGGCCCGTAGCCGGAGCCCCGCAGGTTGCCTGAGTTGCCCACCACGGCACAGCGCCGGCACTGGTGGGGGTCCCGGAAACGGTAGGGGTTCTCGCCCGGAACTATCTGGAACAGCTTCTCCAGCACCTCGTTGGTGTTGTGGGATTTGAACTGGGGCTGCAGCATCTGTGGAGGGAAGGGGAGCGGGCAGTGTGAGGAGGGAGGGACTCCCACCCCTGGCCTCCAGGGTTCCGCCCAGCCCTCCTCCTCCGGCACAGTTGGGGAGTTGGTCTCTCCTCTCACAGACAGCCAGCGGCCCTGCTCGGAGACCCAGTGTCAAAGTGCTCATCGACCCTTTCTTTTTTTTTTTTGGAGAGGTTTTTTCACTATAGGGCGCGTACGCTCGCCAGACAGAGAGAGACATAGGGACAGAAAGCGAGAAATCACCCCCCAGGGGGGATGGTCACACCGCAATTCCTTCTCCTCCATTCTCCTCTCGGGATCTTGGGCACGCACGCACACGCGCCCAGTGTGAGTTTTAAGCCACCGGGTCTGGGATGTGAACCGCGGTCGACTACGTGGGAGTCCAGCGACATAGGCATTACGCTAACTGCTGGTTCCCTGACCCTTTCTCAAGGGACCAGCGGCCACGCCAGGAGGAGCGCAGCTTCCTTCACAGGCTCCTTCCCAGTCAGCCTATGGGGCCACCCTAGAGCTCAGCTTATGGGCGGGGTTCGAGAAGCTGCAGTCAGGATTCCTGGAACACCTGGGCCACTCTCTCAGCAAACATGAAGCCCTTCAAAGCCAGAATGGCTGGACTTGAACTGGCCCCCACACCTCCGACGCCGACGCCGGGGAGAACAGAAACCTCACCAGCTGGAGGTCAAAGGCCATGAGGTGAGGCAGGGGCAGCGGCCAGATGCTTCAGGGCCAGCGGCTTACAACGCTGGAGTAAGGCGGCAGGTGGGGCCCACAGCAAATAGGAGCCCACGTGCCCCCTGGAAAGGGGCAATTTGTGAACCCCAGAATGGCGAGTTCTCCTCTTTGTTAAAGGCAGTGGAAAAAATGGATTTCACGTGAAGCACGGTGATTTCCAATGTTGGTAACCAACGCAAATATTTGGAAAACATTGAGAGCTGGTTTTGGACCATGGGCCACCAGTTGGTGACACTGAAGCTAGGGCTTGAAGTCGCTCTGGGCGAAGCCGAACTCCAAGAGTGTGTGGCTGCTCGGGGGAGCAGGGAGGCAGCACCATGGCTGAGAATGTGCTCGGGCTCACACAGCTGCTGAGTCCCAGCTCTGCAGGCAGGAGGCCTGGCCTGGCCTTTGGGTATCTCCCAGAACCTGTCCTGGCCCTCTCGGGCCACCACTGAGACCGTGACCTTGGGTGAACCTGTGCATTCTCTAAACCTTGACCAACCCCATCCAATGAAGCCCACGACAGCATGCAAACAGGAAGAACCCTCTGAGGGGTCCAGGCTGCCTAGGAAGGGCCGTGGGGCCTCAGTGACCCCTGCTCTGTGGAACCCCGTCCTTGGGGACAATGACAGTCTAGGCCAGAAGGCAGGTTCTGTGGAGCTGTTTCGATAAGCCTGGTCCCACAAGCTCATCTTCGCAGCTTCTCTGAACAAGAGAAAATGGGGGGGGATCGACATGCTCCCCACTCGCCAGCCAGGGGACGCAGGGCCTGGGCGCTCTCCATCCTGGACACGTGGCAAACAGATGGCCCTGCAGAGCCTGGGGACCTGATGATCCAGGGAGGTGGAGGGAATCAACAGAGGCAGAAAGGTGACGGGGCTGGAAGGGCAGGGCACTGGCCTGGGTTGGGCACACCACACCCCAGCCCCTCATCAGTTTATGAGGCTTTCTCACCCCAGCCCAGAGGTCTTTCCCAGCAACTGTGAGGAGCCAAGCGAGTGACTCGCAGTGTTTCTGATTCCTTTGAGCAGCAGTGGCCAGAGTCAGGGGTGGCTGCCTCCTTCCTGCGGGGCAGGCCTCCTCCCCACGGCGGTAGCCCTCCCCTCCTACGTTCTCACTCAGGCCCTGCTCCTCTGTCCACACTGCCTGCCTGGCCCAGAAGGTACTCCTGGTCTATTCTTGGCTCTGGTCTATACAGGCACTAGAAACCCTAGCTCGCTCTCCATCCAGGTCAGGGCTCTCTCGGTGAGCCTTGGCTATGACGGGATAAACGGGCCTCACAAGTGGACCTGCCAAGACTCCAGGCCAGACAGCAGCCCAAACCCAAGCCAAAGGGGCCAGATGGCAGCAAAAGGGAGGGGCGGGGCTGTGGTACTCACCATCCACCACCTCTGGACATCTGGGGGGAGATCCATGTTCTCTCGGGTCCAGACCGGGGAGATGTTGCCGTCGAAGTGGCTGTCGAACCACTC